CACAGCCCGCGCATGCTCCGGAGTGTGTCTCCCAATCTGTCCCAAGGCCCAAGCAGCAGCAGCCTTAATATGATCTTCCGGTTCTTCTGACAAGCAGACTGACAACTGGGGCACACCCTGCAGCGTTGATCAAAAGAGCAAGTGTTATGAAGCTAGAGCAGGATTAAAGCATCTTCCATGTCTCTCAAACATTAGAGGAAGTCATTTTGGCCTTGATCCTTTTTTTCCTAAACGGTTCAATAAATGAGCACAACACAGGGGCTATCATTTTTCAAGTCAATAAAATGACTAGAACTAATTTACCTTAATTATCTGTAACAATCCAACTAAACTAAGACTCTCTCTGCTAGCCTTTACTCCCCAAATATGGAGGCATTTAACCAAACAACAGATGCCACAGACTAGTATCTAAGCAAAACCAGATTCCACTGTGACAAATTAAAAATGCTTAGGATTTTAAAACCTTTTATTTTCCTTTGTTAAGAAAGCTAATTTAGAATCCTTTTTAAATCGCCTTTTCACTAAGTATAATAGATCCAAGAACAAAATACTATAGATCTGAAATCGAATGAATAATATGAGCAAGAATTCTATTTAAGTAGCTTTTAGATGAAATATATTCACTGGAACCTTTCCTGAAATAGTAAATAAATTTGCATTCACTTTGCTCAACTTTTAAATAGTAGTTTTGCCCATTTTAACATGATTGATTGTCCAAGTAGAAATGATTACTTTTGTAACACAGATAGCATGTGCTTATATTTTGTACTTTAGGCTTATCTACCTAAATAACCAAACCAGAGTTAACTTAAAGTCCTCAACACATCACAGTTTATACATTCAAGGAAGATTCAAATAGCCAAATCAAATTATAATTCCAGATTCTGTATAGTTTTCTAACTAATCTGAGACTATAATAATTATCACCTTAAATTTAGTGCCACAAAAGTCAATGTCACATTGTCATGCTACCACAGCAAAGGACAAATGATCGTATACACTTCTTTTTCCCTCTACCTTTAAATTTGGTTATTAAAATCAATTTCCTGAAGAGACCTGCCATATTTCTTCATTGGCTTCTTTTTTACAGCTAAAAGTGTGTGTCTGCAATACAGAAAGGTCACACCTTTCTTTAGAATGAGGCAACTTTCCAGAAAGTCCATACTCCGGGACATATCAAGATTGAAGCAAAAAAAAAAAAAAAAGATTGAAGCAGCAGGGGGAAAACCAGCCTCCTCAACCGCATCCTCCAAACTCAGACTTCCTGGCCTCAGTAGTTATGAATAGCTAATGAGCTAAGGAACATGAAAGTGCTTTGAAAATCATAAAGTATTATTTAAATGTGAAGTACTGTTATTAGCGCTTTCCTACTATGTAGGAAAAAGACAGAATGACGCAGTGCTGTGCAGTTTGCCTCAAAGGCTGCCATCACCATGATCTTCAACTGAGAGACAACTGAGCGGGAGAGGCCAGCAGCAACCCTGGGCCAAAGGAGGGGAGCGCCTCCTGGTTAGTTTGGGGAGGAAATATAGGAAGCAAAAGCAATTGCTTCTTCTTCATCATTTTTCCTACGTGCAAGTTTTCTGACAATCCACAAAAGAACCAAGAATCAAAACTCCCAGTAACATCCCCACGGTGACCCTTCAGAAAGCAGTACTGCTCTAGTCACTATCATAGTCTTTGTAATAGAAGAACAAAAGGAAAAGCACAGGATAAAAAGCGAGTGGAGCAAAGAATTATCAAGGAATAGGTAGAAAATAAAGGTCTGGGGCTCCTTTTCATTCTGTGGATTAGCAAGGGATAAAAAATTCCACACTGTTTAACATGCAGGAGCAGCTTTTCCATGCTGATAAGAAACCCACACCCTAAATGGGTCGCTGGAGATGCTGTAAGCACACAGCTTCTGAAGCGTTCTTCAGGAGATCAATATTTATTCATTCAACCAATATTTTTTGAGCACCTACTATGTGCCGGGGCTGCAATGTAGGGAGGGTTGATACCAAGTTGTAAATTGAGAGGAGGCCAAATCCCAAGAGCAAGGACACAAAACCTCATATCTGTAGTGTGCTCTGAATTGCCTATATCTAAAAAGAGAAATTAGTTCATGAAAGCTGAAGGAGGGAAAGCAGATAAAAAGGGATGTCCTAATCATTGTCATCTCCTACACAAATGACAAGAAAGAGAAAGAACATAGACACCTTTGAGAATAATGAAAACAGCTCCTGGCATTTCATTTATAATAGTTGTCTTTAATCAAAGTATGCTCTGCATGTCAGTAAATATGTACAGTCAATCCTTCAAGATACAAATACACTGAATATTCCAATACAGATAACACTAACATGCAGAAGTATTGATATTTTGTTGATATTAAATACTGAGAAAAACTTTAAACTGTCTGCAAAATAAACCTTACTTCAAGCATTGCTTTCAGAAACTTACTGACAAGCCATGAAAACAAGCTGAAAAATTCTTCAGGTTTCTTTCACTTCGGTCAGTTATATTTTATACTCTATGCAGAGTATTGGTCTGTGATCCTGTCTTAGAATATCTAATTGCAATAACTAGGAGAAAATCAAGCAAGTACAAACCTTGGAAATGATCACTGCCATCGCCAGGTTCTCAGAATGAGCCGCGACATAACCAAGCATCATGATTCCAGGCAGCCTTATGTTGCCTTTGCAGGACCCAATGCAATCGACCACGGCAGCAACTCCCCCTGTGTTAACTATCAACTGTGAAAGCTAAGAGACAAGAAGGAGGCCTAGGTAATCGTGACCTCAAAGCACAAGATGATCTTTAAATATTACTTTAGTATTGCAAACTTTTTAATTTAGAACCTAAAAACATCTGGTAAAATTTGAAATATGATTTCATGTAATTACTATACTTATTAAAGAAATACACAAGCATAATAATCCTGCTATTTCAAATGTACAAATATATTCACCACGCGGAGCTTTACTCTGTGCTTCAATTTTCATGCACCGATGGCACAACTTTTATCCGTATTACAATGAATGTTAAAACTCCTCACCTAGACACTACGAATAGGGCTAGTTCATAATTAGCTAACTACTGAAAGTTCAATCACAATGTGTATGAAGCCAATTAATCACTGAATGCTGAAAGACAATGTCAGACTTGAAATATTCTAGCCTAATTATCCCCCGTTTGTGAGCAATGATTGCTAGCTGATACACTTCAATCATGAAAAATCTCAAGCAAGTAAAGATGATAGGTAAAATAGAGAATGAGGACTTTAAAGTTTAGTGAAATGAAATTGATTACTCAAAATATACACAGAAAAATATACAACTTTAGTATCCACCCAGGCTTGCTTCATCACTATTCTGTTGGCATCTAAGAACTCAGCAGGAAACAGCATGTAAAAGCAGCTACTTGAGTGGTTACATTAGGCTGGGGACCTGGTGGTCTCTCCAAACCTGGAACTGTACAACCTCTCCCTACTCCCAGCTGATCTAAAATGACAAGGATGACAAAGGTTCACGGTCTCCACAATCTAGAAATGGAAAGCAGGAAATGATTAAAAACTGAGATTTCAGTCTCAAAGTTCAGTGATATAACCCAGTGGTTCTCAATGAGGTGAGTGGAGGCACTTTTGTCCCTTGGAAAATATTTGGCAATATATGGAGACACTTTTGATTGTCTTGACGTGGCGAGGGGTGCTATGGCCTCTATGGACAGAGGCCAAGGAAAGGATGCTGAAAAATATCTATCCTACAATGTACAGGACAACCTCCCACATCAGTTATCTAGTAAAAAGTGTCCATAGTGCTCAGGATGAGAAACCCTGACCTAACCAGATCATGTAGCACAGAACTTGGGCCCTGTGTATAAATCGATGTTTTACTTCAACACGAAATTAACTCATGTTATTGTATTAATGTCTTTTTGGTTTTGTTTTTGTTTTTTTACCTTCGGTGTATGTTTTGCAATTTCTCTAATTAAAGTACAAGCATTTTTCTTCACATATTCATCTTTGTCCTTCAGACAGGTAAGTACAACTGGGAAAATCTCTGCTTCAACCACCATTTCTGCCAGATCCACAGTATGTTTTGCAATCTGACTGAGAGCAGAAAGGACCTGACGCTGTTAAGCAAAAACCAAAATAAAACAAAACATTATGTAGCGTCCACTGCAGTTTTCAGACACAATTTAAACAGCTTCATAGTCAAATTCCTTTGTAATAAGAAAAAAAAAACAATTGCATATCTAACATAACCTAAGATTTCTGAGTGTCAAGACATTCACATCCTAGTCTTATATCTAAATACTCAATTTCTTAAATTCCCTAATTTCCAAATTAAGTGTCTTAGTTTTCTGTGGACTATTTTAATCTGTATCGCAGATGATCTAAGAATATGACCTTTGGATGAATACTATTTCTTAATTATGTAATACTTAAATTGTTATTTACAATACATGTGGTAAGGTAGTAGAAAAAGATCAAGCAGAACTGACATCTTATTTTTGGCATGATGCTGATAACATTTCAAAGAACTTTCCATTGCTTAGTTAATATTAACAATTTAAAAACCTTATAGGGGGCCGGCCAAGTTGCGTGTTGGCTAAGAGCTGGTTTGGGACGCCAGCTCTGAGCAGCAGGGCCCCGGTTGGGATCCCACATGAGGGCCAGTGACACTGCCCTCTACAGCTAAGATGCTGAACAACAGCATAACCTGGAGCTGGGCTGCTGTGAGTCGTGGGCAAGGGCGTAGGCTGCAGCCCCTGCTGCAGTGGGCTGCCATAAGCTACCCTGTGTAGCCGGCAGCCAGTTTGAGCGGCCAGCAGCCGGTGTGAGCTGCCAAGAGCCACCGTGAACAGCCATCCAGAGGCCAGCGACCGATCTGTCTCACCCAGGATGAGCATAATGATAATACCAACATGGGCCAGTGAAGCAACGTCCTCCACAACTAGACTGAAGAACAAAAGGACAGCAACTTGTTTGTTCCCCTTCCCCCAATTCCCCAACACTGTTCCCCTCCCCCAATTCCCCAATAAAAATCTTAAAAAAAAAACCACCTTATAGGATCTAACTATTAGAATATAAAAATATAATTGGTGACTATTAAATGAAAATCAGATATTAGAAAGCTATAAAGAAGAGTATTATAAATATGACAATTTTCTTAAGAAATTTAAATAGTGGTGAGCTAGAAAACCTTTAGGTCTCTTCCCACCCTGAAATTCAATCATTATGTGATTCCTTATTTTAGTGATTAATGTTAATACTGATGCTACTTCTAATTTTCAACATTATACATATTTTTCTCAGTCGTGTGTTTATTGGCTAATCTTTACAGCATGATTTTCACATATTAGAAGAATAAATATACAATACAGTCACATCTATTGTCAGTGAGAATTTACGTATTATTTTAAATGTATAATATTAATCTATACACATTTCCATTTTCTTAGATTAACAGAAGACTGTTTTTTTATTATTATTATTTTTAAATACCTTCAATTTAGCATCAGGGTTCAGGATCATCTGGGCTAAGTAAGCAATCGCTCCCGCATCCACCACTGTCTGCGCCAGCTCTGGAGAGTGCTGTGAAATATCACTGAGAGCCGAAGCAGCAATCTTTTTCAAAGCAATTTCTGGCTCCTCGATACAAAGTACTAAAAGAGGAACCGCTCCCGCATCCACCACAGCTTGTGACAGTTCTGTGGGCCCCCAAAAAAGTAATTAAGTGAGTATGGGTGACTGACCCTTGTCCAAGCCATTTTTCACTCTGACAGGTACAGCAAAGAAAAAAAGGGAGGGTGTGTGCTTCAATGTCTCGACATCTGCATTTCAAATCAGCCTTCCTGGTTTCGTAAACCATGTGGACCAATCCTGAGCTGAAAAGAATACAGGTCAATAGATGGACCTCCATTTACATGAACACATTTGAGGTAGATTAGGCTGAAATGGCTTGTTTTTCTTTTCTTTTCTCTTTTTTAAGAGAGTAAGCAGATGTCAGCTCTTTAAAGCTCTGATAATTCTGCACTTTTCAATGGGCAAGCATTTTATGCATGGTTTACAATAACAGAGAAAATTAAAGCACCAAAAATTTACCAACTACACTAATTAGGCAGTATTTTGTGCTATTTACATGAGTAAACATTAATATGAATCTTCTGCCAATAATGTCAATTTTTAAATTCATTTCATCTTATATTACTTTTAAAAGATTTTTTAAAACTTTATACAAAATAAAAAGGTGCATTTTTATCGTACATATAAAAACACTTTCAAAAACAAGATCCACAACTGAACAGCATACTTTCCATAAATGTTAATGTTTAGAAAAGGAGTAAATTTATCCTAAGCATTTTACATGTCAGAAATATACATCTTTTGAATATACATGTTGATTTACTTGTGTGCCCAAGAATAACAGTTATAAAAATAACATTTTAAATTATAGATAATGAGAGATGGGCAGGCAGACCCATATAATATATATGTAAAAAATGTCTTTTGAGAAGCATAACACACAATACATAGTTACAGATTCTGCTTTTATTGTATTCATGGCTTCTCTTACTAAGTCACCTATGTCCATTTCTATAATCTATTCCTTTCAAATAATGTCCTCATTTTCCCAGATTTGTAGTGCCCTGACAATTTTGGTCTTAATAACCAAGCCATCTCTTCAGCATATACTTAAAGTCTTTAAAGAAAATATGGTGTTTAATTTTTCAAAAGATTGGTAATATCATATTTTCTAAAAGGAAATAATGTTAGAAAATACAGGTTAACATGCAATATTTGTTTTCCTTAAATTATTATAATTTCATTAGAAGTCCCAATATTATATAAACAATTCATTCATTCTTTCATTAACAAGTATTAATGGAAGGGTACTATGTGCCAGACGCTTTCAACTCTGGTGCAGATGACAGGATTCTACAAATAAAATCTACTTTGATTAGCAAATAGTTTCAATCTTTAAAATGTGGTGTAAAATATGAAATACAATGGTAAGTTAATATGTAATCTCAAGAACTAGAGGCAGGTAAGTGGAAAAGTTTTTTTTAAAAAAAGACAGCAGCAACAGACTCGAATACCAACACTTTCCTCAGAAGCATCTCTGTGATTCTACTTGAACTGCCTGAAGACCAACAAGACAGCAGGTAAAAGAGGTGATCACTGTTTCTCTCCCTCCCCCATCCATCCAAGGGAAATGGAAAGAAACATAAAGTGTGATAGTAGATGAAATTTCTAGATATAATTTTCATATTTTATGTTAACATGTTACTCAATCCAGCCCAAAGTATACAGGTGTCGTATGGTAATATCAACTTTCTACGTATATTTAAGGGCACCTAGCACATATACAATGGACTGAACATTTTGTTTCAAGAGAGTATAAGGTTAGTTCATCTATGTATATCACTTTTATACAGTTTCTGAAAGTAAAGAATATGCAGTAAACTACAACTGTTTAAAAGTACTATTAATAAAAACTTAAGGTTCTTTTTAAAAAGAATCTATTATCTCTGTAATCCCCACTCATTTTATCCTTTCCTTGAATAACAGAGTGCCATATCCTCTTTTCCCTGAACTCTGTAATATTAATAATAAAGCAAACTCTGCTCTTCTAACCTGTTTGCCAATCCCATTCTAAGCTGTTTTCAGTTCTCTCTAGAGTTCTGATGTTAAATGCAGGGAAGGCTGAGGATGACACTGGAGGAAGATTCGCCATGAAGGTAATGAAGCTTCCAAGGACTTGGATTGGGCCTAGCAACTTTGTACTTTCAATTTCATATACTTTCCATCTCCAATTTTTAAAAAAGGTTTTTATTTAAATATAGTTAACATGCAATATTATATTAGTTTCAGGTGTATACCATAATGATTCAACATTTATATTCCTAAAGAAGTGATCACCATGATAAGCCCAGCAACCATCTGACACGGTACCATGCTATCACAATATTATTGACTATATTCCCAATGCTATACAGTAAGTCTCCATGACTTTTTTTATACCTGGAAATATGAACCTCTTATTCCCCTTCACCTTTACCTCCCTTTTAAAATTTTGCAATTACAGTTGACATTCTATATTATTTTATATTAATTTCAGGTGTACAGCATAATGGTTTATATCTCCAAATTTAAACTGTCCTAAAAAAAAAACGGCATCTGCTTCTGGGTGGCACTAATCGTTATTTAAAATGACATTGTTCTACTACATTCATACATATATTAGGTATAAGATGGTGTAGTACATACAGGTAAGAATACAATAAGCATAAATAATGTACAATGTACCGTATTCCACCTGCTATAGCTACCTCTGTAGTTGGCCTGCCTCTATTGCTACTCTTTCTCCTATAGCATATCTTTCTCCTCTTCCCTACTATTTCTTCCTCTCGCATTTCTGTGCCAGTGACTCTTGGTGTCTCCCCTGTAGCCTTTGTCAGCCAGGGCATGGACTTGTGAACCAATCCTGGCCAATGGGGCCTGAATAGAAGTCAGCTGAAAGCATCTGTGAGAGGTTTTCCTCTAACATAAACAGAGACACACAGGAGCAAACACTGACTCTTCTTTGCTGGACATGGTCATGTCTGCAAGTGACATCTGGACTCCTACATCCATCTTGCAACTATAAGAAATCACTAATATGCTGAGGATGACTGAGTACAAAAATGAAAAACATCTGGGGCCTCCATGACACTGTTCAGCTGCGTAACCAACCTTGCAGATGCCCTGATCTGAATTTTGTGTCATGTGAAATAAAAAATGTCCTTATTGTTTAAGCCACTTGTAGTTGATATTCTGTAACTTTACAGCCAAAAAACAGTTTGATGTAATTCTGTCTTTGTTCGTGCTCATTGTATGTGTGTACTTTCCTCTCTTCTTGCAGTCATTGAGTGTTCATTAAATGCTTACTATGTGCTAGAAATTTGGCTAGATGTTGAGGCTGCAGAATGGAGTAAAACACTGTTTTGTTCTGGAGTTCTTTGCTCAGGATGAATATACAAATAGACTACTGCAAGTACGGAGCAGAGCTAGGAGTCAAGTCTGTGGAGTGTTTGGTGAAAATGTATACAGAAGTGCATTTCAGGCAGTGCTTCTCACCTTACTTCCTTTTGCTGTTTTTCTTTTTTCCTTATACTTTCCTACTCTAAAAAAAAAAGCAGTAGTAACAAAATATACAAAATTCTGATACATATAAAAATATCTTCCCATAGGAGAAATCTCACAGAGCTCATTTTTAAACTCTAATTTGAAATAAGTTTTGGTTCAATTAATTATCATGCTTATGAAATCAAAGATTGACATGTACAGAATCAGAGGCTCATAAAAGGTTTGAGCCTCAACAAAAAAGATTTGAACCCCCCAAAAAAGCAGGGAGCCAAGAAATTTATCTTCCTGTATCTTCGAAAATATCTTAGCATCATTTTAAATTTTAAGTGAATTTTCAAAAAAATTTAAAAAAATATGCCTTCTATTGTGCAATAACAAGTGACATAATCATATATTGCTAATAACAAGCAAGATTAGAAGTAGTTATGCAAAGAAAATGCAGAGAAAAAAGTTAGCATGCTATACGAACATACTAACAGGATTTATACTGGGTTGATGGTACTATTAGAGATATATTTTTCTTCTCCATTTGCCAAATTGTCTTCAATGTGATTATATATTTTTTAAAATAAAAGAAATATGAACATGTTTTTGTCCACACTTGTAACTACTGCTGGAGCTAACTATAATAACATTACTATTATAAAGGAAAAATAAATATAACATTTTCGTTTCTCAACATGGTAGAAAGTTTCTTATTTTAAAAAATGGTGGGAATGCTTTCCTATAAGCGGTCTGAGGTGATCTCTGAAAACGATTTGCTATTCATTTGACCTAGAGAACCCCACAAAATCATGCAAATAGAGAGGTTCAAATCTTCATGTTCACTTTAAGAACACTTGTGAAACTGCTCAGGCCATCCATCAAGGGTATGCATATCCGAAAAGCCACCAAGTATCTAAAGGACGTCACGTTACAGAAGCAATGTGTGCTGTTCCGTCGTTACAATGGTGGAGTTGGTAGCTGCGGCCAGGCCAAACAGTGGGGCTGGACGCAGGGTCAGTGGCTCAAAAACAGTGCAGAAATTTTGTTGTACATGCTTAAAAATGCAGAGAGTAATGCTGAACTTAAGGGTTTAGATGTGGACTTTCATGGGCAGATTAACCCATACAAGAGCCCTTTCTGCCACACTGAGATGGTCCTTACTGAGAAAGAGCATATTGTTCTAGACCAGAAGAGAAGGCTGCACAGAAGGAAAAGATCTCCCAGAAGAAACTGAAAAAAAAAAAATTATGGCCTGGGAGTAAATTCAGCTCAAATAAATGCTAACAAATGTAAAAAAAAAAAAAATGGTGGGAATGAATATCTCCTTTAAAGAAAATATTAGGACAGGGTGTATAATTATTCTTTAAAGAATTACTAATATACACTAGAAATATCCATTTACTTTTCACACTTACCCTCTTGCCTTAATTCATGCCCTTTTTACATTTAAGTTAAAATATTAATATTACATTTTTATTTTTATTTTATTATTATTTTTAAAGATTTTATTGGGGAATTGGGGGAGGGGAACAGCACTAGGGAATCCGGGGAAGGGGAACAGACAAGTTGCTGTCCTTTTGTTCTTCAGTCTAGTTGT